CCTTGAGATCCCGGACGAAAGAGAGTAATGCCACCTCGAGAATTGGGATCCAAGAAAGAGACTTCTTCACAGTGATTAGGATCCTGGAAATTACAAAGAAAAGTAAAATATGAAAAGGAAAGAAAAAAGAAAAGAAAAAAAAGAAAAGAGTCACCATGTGAAGCGTTTGAGGAAGCAGTGATCTTATGCATATTGGAGCATGACACCATTTTCATCTGAGAGAACATAGGCACCCCCGCCAATGTGCCGTGTCATAAAAGAATGGCCCAGTCTATAGTGGTGAGAACCTGAAAGTTGGAGTGTGGTTCTAGAGCTTCACTAAGTTGCCATGTTAGAATGGGCTGGCACGACATGAGATTGGTCTTGTTGTGTCTTGAGTTTGAGTTTGGTGCATTGGGCATGTCCTGCAGATATCTGAAGTTGTTCTTCCAGAGATAGAATCTCCCATGCTCAGGCCTGTAGTATGTCCTCCATTATCCCAAACGGTGCCTCATGATGAAGAGAGAACAGAAGCAAGGGAACATGAAGCTCAATGGGGAGTATAGCTTCTGTCCCATACACCAAAGAGAATGGTGTTGCTGCAACTAATGTCTTGCACATTGTCTTAAATGCCTAGAGTACTGTGCAGAGATGTTTGTGCCATCTCTGAGGATGTCTGTCCACCAACTTTGCTGGCACTACCTTCATGATCTTGTTGTTGGATTCAGCCTGTCCTTTGGATTGAGGAAAATAGCTGCTACTATGGACATGTTGAATCTTCAAGAGCTGGAGAAGGTGTTGAACGACCTGGCCTAGAAATCCTCCACCTTTGTCACTGTGGGGATGCTGAAGTGACACACAATGTGCTCATAGATGAACTTTGCTGTTGAGTACTAATCTACACATCTGAGGGGAACAGCCTCAATCCATTTCGTGAAGTTTTGCAATGAGGAGATAGCAATGTCCAATGAAGCTGAGAGGAGATGTTGGGCTGAAAAAATCTAGGCCCCACTTGAAGAATGGACTTGACGAAGACATGGGATGCTGCTCCTAGGGTTGTGTTGTTGGCATTATAAACCCTGTTGTGCATACTCCTTGGTGTCCTTGTGGATTGTTGGCCAGAAGTTGCCATGTAGAAGGAGTTGTGCTCTTATGTGAAAAGCTTAGTAGAGCAAGAATCTCAGTCACTATGACACATCGGAGAAGAAGGCCCTGAGCAATACGATGGTATAGTGTGCTGTTGAAGGCAATAGTCTCGGACCTGCCACTGCAAAGCTTGTTGTTCCAAGTGTGGGAGGTCTGATGGAGTGCCTATCTCCAAATACTTCGCTACATTCTCCAAAGCTGTCAGCACTACAAACATCATCTCTGTTGTCACAGCAATTGTGAACTGATTGGGATTGAGTACACGTTGCTTTTTGAGGATAAACTTTGGTTGGAACTCCTGGATGGTGGAGATCCAGGTAGTCTTACACCTGATCTTCCTCACCTCATCCTGGAAGCCATCATTGCTTGCTTTCTTGATCCTGCGGTTTCTTGTTCGATTTCCTCCTCGAGTTCCAAAGCAAACTCATTTTCTTCCTGGTTCAATTTGCTGCTCTAGCTCCATGGCAAACTATCCAACTCATCTTGGGCCCGTTGTGGATCACTCCTCCCCTTCAAGACCCAAAAGCATCCTCACTGTTGTCCATTTTGAAATCTTTTCAGGAATTCCTTGAGATCCTCATCTTCCTCACTGGAATCGATGTGGACTTCCTCCCTACCTGTGCCACATGTGTGCTGGAGCAGGGTTCATGTTCAATATCTTCCATGAGAAGCTCGAGAAAGACAAAGCGTTGGTGTCAAAGCCCTAGCAACGACTAGTCGCTGCCGGTCAACAGTGACTGCAGTCACCAGGGAACTTTAGCCATTAAGCCCTTGCTATTGCTGCTGTTGCTTGGTTCTCTTTTTGGGGCATTTCATGCTGACATTACAATTTTTCTTGGCATTTGTAGTGCAACTGTGTGTGAATTTATGTTGTAACAAGGCTAGATAATTTGATGATTGTTGAATTTGTCAAACTTTCCTTGTTAATAGCAATGCTGTTGTTTCAATTTATCCTCAACACTCCCAAATGAGACATGTGGCTGTGAAGTTGAAAAGTCCCAGACTGGGTAATCTTTTGAGATGGTGTAAATTGTTGATGATCACTTGGAGTTACTTGACAATCAAAAATCTCAAGAGAAATAAAAATAAAGGTTTTAAATTGCATAACACTGACCTTTAATAAACTGTTACAAGTTCACGTATATACTATACGATGACAAATTCACTGGAGATTCCCGTGAAGTTGTCAATCTTTCCCATGAGAGCTTTGGAGGCGCCAAAGAGTCGAAGCCTATACGTCCCTGCCAATGCATCCTTTGGAACTTTCCATTTGATTGTTGCCGACGGTCTCTTCCACACGAACTGGACGCTCCAGTCATCGTCGTCGTAAGCTGGAGTCCAAACGCCTGGAGCACTTTGGAACTCCACCATGGTGTAGCTTGCCTCCGTCATAAGGTTGTTCCTCGGGGAGCCGGACCAGAAGGTGGCCTCCACGCTGTCCCCAGCTCTAAACGAAGCGTTCCTGGCGACATCTCTGCTGACGTCTCCAAATTTGATGCCGGCTGGAGTGGTGTCTGGGATCACTTCTGGGAGTAAGGAGATTTGCTTACTGATCAAGTCCGGTGGTGATGGTCCTTTGGCAACTTGAGTGTCGAGAACTAGTGCCTCGGCTAGCTTCTTAAACTCTTGAATATAAGCACTCAGTGTGTGAGGCCCATACAACGTCGAAGCACCCTATAAAAACATTTGCTTAAGCCTCTCGAAACAAGGAAGATCCGTTAGTTACCTCGTAGCGTTGGATCTGATACTCCTCAAAAGTTGTCACGTAGGATGAATAGGCATTCGTGAGGCCCGATATAACAATCCGAACTTCTTTGTCATACTTTCCGTTGCTCTTCTCGACCAAGGTAGCCTTCACTGCATCTTTCAAGCGTCGTCCAGCCATGGTGGTAAACTCTGGGCATAGCAAATTAAAGTCGTCAATTATAGCGTTGTCCAATTGATAGCGGAAAGTGTGTTACCAGAAGGGACTGATAAAATGAAGAGTTGGCCAACTTGGAGGATCTGGATTGGAAGGATCGCTGGCTGCAAGAATCACTTAGATGCAAAAGAAAATAAATTCTGGAACTTCTTACAGCCCAGTCATACGGAAAAAGCATCTCTCCAGTGTCGAGAAGAACTGGTTTCGGGCTTTGACAGGCTACTTGCTTTTCGGTTGGTTTCCTCAGCAAGTCACGAACAGCTTTCCAGAATGGATTTCCCTGTAATTTCAGGTCAGCTCCAAATCGAGAACGAATACAGCAACTTACGTCAGTGTCTCCTTGCTTGAAGTCAAAAGCTCCTGGCCCGTCTGTCGTCCCAGCAGCAAAACTAAATCCCATGGCAGCAGGACAAGTCGTCGCCGACTGTGCTGCTATGCTAATGTTGGTAAAATCTACGTAGCTTTGTCTGTAATTCACTGGTCCCTTCAGCAAATCTTTTGCATTCGCAAACAGCTCGATTGCGCTTTCCATCTGTCGCGTTGCTATAATCTCTGTGCTGGCAAAGTGGTCTGGGTAACTGGAATACAAAAGCTATAGGCGCAGAAGTGTCATCAAACGTAAAAACTCACCCTGGTCCTCGAGCAATGCACAACTCGTTGCTACCGTTACAAGTGCTATGGTTGAAATCGCAGCGTAGATTTGTGTCGCCACAGAAGGCACCTAGAGTATTTGGAGATACGTCGCCTTCATTTGTCTGGGCAAAAGCGGCCACAAAAGAAGTCTTGCTCCTCACACGACTTGTGTTGGCTGAAGGCTCCCGCTTCACTGATCGATGGTCAAACCAGTCTTCCATAAAGCGAGAAGCAGCACCTTTGTTGTCACCGCTTACCAAAGTATTCGTGTTGTTCATTGAAGTACAGTGGACAGGAAACCAGTTCACAGTGCCAACAGGACCATGCTGCGCGTCTACAAGCTTCAAAAGAAGCATGCTTTTGTCGACGTCGTACTTGTATCTCTTTCTTTCTTCGGCAGGGTTGTTTAAATAAGCACTGGGGCTTCTGTTGATGTTAGCATCCAAAATTTCTCCTGAAAAAGAGGGGGAAAAAATAAAAAAACATAAAGTGTGAGGAGGCTATTCAACGCAGACTTGAAAGATAACCTTCGTTCACGAAGATCGAACCGGGCTTCAAGTTGTGATGAGCTTGAGTGATACTTGCCACGGCCCCGTCAACAATAGCATCAAATGACTGTTTCACGAATCCGAGGGATGTTATACTATACAGGAGGTACTGCAAGTAGCCACCGGGTCCTGAATGCGTATGTATACCACTCAATGCCACATTCTTCTCAGTGTACAAATCCCCGTACCTGGAGTCAGCAATGAGAGAGCATTTCACAATAGCTAGCTCATTACCTTGTCTTGAGCTTGGAAAGCACAGCAGTAGTCACAGCTTGCGAGGCCATGCACGCGTCGAGGCTCACGTAGGCGATCCTGTTCCCGTCGTTTCCTGCTTCTGCAACGATGAAGGCTCTCGATCTTAGCCTGAGATGAATTCCCGCAGCATTCTGTTTTGGATTTGCGTATCCCATCATGTTGACATCGGCTGCAGGACCTGTTATGTCGTAGCTCCCCGCTCCAAGAAGATAGTCCGCTTTGCAACGGTAGACCATCAAGGATGCTACAAGGAAAACAAGCATCTTGAAAAACGCCCCCGAAAATACATGCTGATCAACAGCTCGTTTCGACTCCATAATTTTGGCTTGAGCCTCGCACAAACCGTCGTCGACAGCGACCAAAGAACGAGCATTTGGCTTGCCGTCTGAGCTGGACGAGTCTCTTTCTTGGATCGATTAGGCCAAGAACTATGCACGAGAGGAGATGAAGCGTTCAGCTTGTCATATACGATGTCCGGAAAGATCCTAACGAAAACGACAAGGATCAGAACAATAAGATGCTAAATCGACTTGCCTGATTCTTCTGGCATTTCGGAAAAGAAAGAACAAAAGGTTTCAAACAAGATGCTGCATCCACCAACTTATGAATGACGATGAAAATTTACCAACCAGGTAAGTGTTTTTTTTCTCCCTCCAGAGCAAAGGACTACTCAAACAAGCGCTGACAGTTGTCTCCTCAAATTGTCAGATTCTCCACACGGCCCGATTAATCTGTCTAGACGATCTGGAAGCACGGAGAATATTTAAAAAGGAACGTTTGCGAGAATAAAGAAAAAAAAAATACTCACCATTGAGCTGGAGAAGTGCTTTCCCAATATCAGTAAGAAAACCGTTCCACTCTGCGTTGTTGCTTTTCGTGGAGGTCGGGTCGTCTTTAAACTCCACCAACTTGCGGGCGGGGGCGCATGAGAAGTGCTGTAAGTCATCAGTGCTAGTTGCGTCACTGCTATAACCCACTGGCCTTTCGGCGGTTGACCATCTCAAGTCATCAGTGCTAGTGCTACAAGAGATACACCTGTTGCCGTCTTGATCATCGTGATTCCAACTTGACGGCTCCAAGTTGAGGGAGCTCGGCGTGACCGGTGTGACTGGCGAGAAGGGCGCTGTTTCAAGCGAAGAAAGTAGTGACTGAGAGGCCAGCTTTGTGTTCGATAAGAGCGAATTTGTCCTTGTCCCTAATGAGTACCTCTCCGCATCGGATACTCTCTTTGCTTTTGGTGTGCACACCCCCTGCCCTGTGAGCTCCTTTCTCGAGGGCCAACTCTTCCTCTTCCACTTTCGACTGTAGTGCCTAGTTGGAGACTTCGTGGAGACGGGAAATCGTGATTCTGTTGCATACTGCCCCTTCTCGAGAACTCCCAAAAGAGAGGACTTTCCACTTTCCCTGAGGTCAACGAACTTTAGAATCCCCCACTCGCTCATGACATCGTTGAGCAGTTTCTGGCTCTCGAGATCCAGGTTATTTCCCCTGACATCCAGTGCTGGCAGACAAAAATCCACAACAAACAAGATCAGATTCTGGGGACTCATGATGGAGAATATATCTTATTACCTTCGATGGATGGCCCAAGGCGGAATATCGTACACATTTCCCTCACGGACGCTACTGTTAAGATGTTCCACGACAGATCGAGAACCCGCAGCCCGCATCTGTTCACACTGCGGCCTGGCATTTGTCTGTAGACGCGCAGGCTGTTTTGCCAATCTTCTTGAATTTTCCGAGACAGATTTGCCTGTCGCATGGCCAAACACGATAGAGAAAAAGGAAGAAAACCATAGAATGGAATAAATAAATCACAGACCTTGAGGATAGATGTCAAAACTGGAGCTACAGCATCAGTAAGATTGCATCCTGCAAGACAGAGCACCTGCAGGGATGCACAATCACGAAATCCTCTAGCCTGCGTAATTTGATCACTCGAAAACAACATCAGTGTTTAGTCAGAGGCAAAATGCTTTCTTTTCATCTTACCAGGAGATGAAGGTTAGAATCTCCAAGCCCACTGTTTGCAAAAGACAGACGCTTTAGTGTCTTGGACAAGCCTGAAAGAACCATAGACCATCTTTAAGCCTTTTCCAAGTTCAAGAAAAACACGAAAAAAGTTTAGGCCTAGCTTACATAGCGCATGAACGAGAAGCTGTAAGTCTCGTTTACACAAAGAAAATCCAAGCTCCAAATGCTGCAGCCACCCCCCTGAAGAGACTGACCACGCCAAAGCTCTGGAAAAGAACAATGTAAGAAGTAAAAAAAAAAAACACTAAAAGAAAGAAATCACTGACCTGGAGAAGTTGAACATGGCGTCAGCATGTCTGGGACTGAGAAAGGTGAATCGAGGCTCTGAGGAACACCAAAATCTTCCATCATAGACAAAAAAAAAATCACTGGCGCTTACCAGCGTTGCGGCCAATCGAAAGCTCCAAGCTCGAAATCCTGCCGTCCTTGAGCGCCAGCGCAAGGGACGCGAAATCCGAGGCCTTCAACTCCTGCAAATCCCTCTGCCAGGCAAGAAACACGGATTACCCCCCTAGCTCCCGGCGATCGACCCATCCCTAGCTAGGAAGCGCGAATCCCATCGCTCACCTTGACGCTTTGAACGGCCGGAGAGCGCATTTTTCCTCGTCGACGTTAGGGCTAAACAGAGGACACGTGGGCAAGTTAGGGTTAGGGCAAGCGCGTTATTTTAACCTCCTTTTTGGCGCACAAAGAATGATGTCCCGGAAAACCGTTGGAGGACGGCACCACCATCCATTTTTTCCGCACGAATGATTCCATTCCATGCCCCCCACATAATTGAGCCCTAATTTCCCTTTTTCCTTCTCTCTGAGGCCACGAAATCGCCCCTTGGCAATTTCGTGGCTTAGAAATCCTTTGACAAAATCTCGCTACCAAATGCTTGCGTCTTTGCTTCAAGCTTTCCCATCCCATCCAATCCAAACGCTTCTTATCTACAATGCCTGTGGTGCCAAAAAAGAGGGCAAAAATCTTCTGCGTCCACAGGAATTTCTCCTCTTTTTCTCCAACTTTCTCTCTCGATCGCGCGCTCGTAATAATGCAGCCGTGAGCGTGGGTGTTTTATCGCTCTCCAGATTTTACCCTCGCCCGGTATAATGGCATATGCCTTGGGAGATGCGCTCCCAAATTGGGAAGAAGCTCTTGGAGCAAAATTTTTAGCCGCTCTCCCCAATTTTTTTTTCCCCCTCGCCTCCTTTTCCTTTTTTTCCCGTTCGCTGTAAACTATAAAGCTCTCGCTCGCTCCCGAGGTTTGGTTTGGTTACTAGGATTTCTTTCTTCTTGTGCTTCCTCTCATCGCCATCGCTTCGTCGCTCTTGCGTCCTCTCTCTTTTTTCCTCCTCTCTCTCGCGGCGCTGGCACTGTGCGATTGAGCGATTGATGATCGGCCAAATCGGCCTCGAATAGCGATCGATTGATCGCGGGTTCGATTCGATCCCGTAATATTTCGATCGATCGATCCCAATGCCGCAGTATCCACCTCTCAATTCCCAGGACGATGATCCAGCCGGCAAGCCCCAGCCGCGGCGCAAGGAGGCGGCAGTAGCAGCGGCGGCGCCATTCGTCCCGCCCAATCTCAATCTCCCGCCCTCGCTCGCCTCCTCCCGGGTGGAGCGCCTCGTCCGCGAGAGGCAGCTGCGGCGGAGCGAGCGCGCATCGGCATCCGAGGACGCCATCGACGAGGACGACGCCGCGGATCAGCCGCAAGAACAGCCGCCGGCCGATAATATTTCGCTCGAGCAACAGCCGCGCGACGATAATCCGCCGCCATCGCAGCAGCAGCAGGAGGATCTTCCGGCCGATCAGGGAGGGGGCGAGAAGCAGCGCCTGCTTGTAGTCGCGAATCGATTGCCCGTGTCGGCGACGAGGAAGGGGGACACACAATGGAGCTTGGAAGTCAGTGCTGGAGGGCTTGTCAGCGCATTGCTTGGTACGTTGTGTTCTTCCATTCTTCTCTCCTTCTAGCTACCTAGGGCATTTAAATGGGAGCGAGTACCCTAAATTTGCTCTCTTTGAACAGGAGTGAAGCAGTTCCAGGTCATCTGGATTGGCTGGCCTGGCGTCTACGTCCAAGACGATGTGGGGCGTCAGTCGCTGGCGCAAGCTCTCGAAGAGAAGGTAAGCCTTTGCTGGATCGAATTTCTTTCTTGGTAGGAGTCGTATCGTCTTCCAATTTCCATGAGTGAATTAGAGGAGTTCATCGTTTTTTTTGCTAGATTCTATGAGCCAGCTATGCATTCTTTGTTGTTGTTGTGCTTCTTCTTCTTCCGGAAGGGACTCTTGTACACTGCCTGAATTTTTTTTCCCTTTCTGTTAAATTCTTTGCAGGGATTTGTCGGGGTTTTGCTCGATGAGACCACGGTCGATCAGTATTATAATGGCTACTGCAACAACGTTTTGTGGCCACTGTTTCACTACATTGGGCTTCGTCAGGAGGACAGGCTTGCCGCTACCCGGAGCTTGCAGTCGCAATTTAACGCGTACAAGCGTGCTAACCGGCTGTTTGCGGATGCAGTCATCAAAAACTACCAGGAAGGAGATTTCGTTTGGTGCCATGATTATCATCTCATGGTTCTTCCGAGCTATCTCAAGGAGTATAACAGCCACATGAAAGTGGGATGGTTCCTTCATACGCCTTTTCCTTCCTCCGAGATTTATAGAACTTTGCCACTGCGCGCAGAGTTGCTCCAGGGAGTTCTTGCAGCAGACTTAGTCGGGTAAGCTTTCTCGTTTATTCATGCGACTTCACGTTTTCATCGAGCATTGCTCCTGTTATGTAGATTTCACACCTACGACTATGCAAGGCATTTCGTCAGCGCCTGCACAAGGATACTGGGCCTGGAAGGTACTCCCGAGGGAGTGGAAGATCAAGGAAAGATAACCCGAGTTGCAGCGGTACTGCCCGTCTACCCTTATATTCAGACGCTCTGATTTTTCAAGTTTGTAGTTCCCTGTTGGAATCGACTCCGAGAGGTTCACTCACGCCGTGGAGACGGAAGCTGTAAAGCAACATATTCAGGAGTTGAGCGCTCGCTTTGCTGGGCGCAAGGTTTGACTCTTTGTATCAGCGAAACTAGTCTTTTACGTGTTTTTGCATACCAGGTTATGCTCGGCGTAGACAGGCTTGACATGATTAAAGGAATTCCGCAAAAATTGCTTGCCTTCGAAAAGTTTTTAGAGGAGAATCCAGAGTGGCGTGACAAGGTTATTTTGGTCCAAATTGCTGTTCCGACGAGGACGGACGTGTTGGAATGTATGGCTCTTTTGCTTTTCTGTATTTTGCATTCTAAAGTCTTTCTTCCTTGGCAGACCAGAAGCTAGCAAGTCAGGTTCATGAGATAGTTGGTCGCATCAACGGTCGTTATGGATCTCTTACGACGGTCCCGATTCACCACCTTGTAAGGTTTTAAATTCCATCGCCTTGGAAGATATCCATAAATGTCTAATGCAGGATCGATCAATGAAGTTTCCAGAGTTGTGTGCCCTTTACGCCATCACCGGTGCGTTTTTCTTTGATTTGTTCTTTCTCGTTTTTCTTTCTGTTTTGTTTTTCTTTATCCGCTCAATTATTGTGTGAACAGATGTGTTGCTTGTCACTTCGCTGCGGGATGGCATGAACCTTGTGAGCTACGAGTTTGTGGCTTGTCAAAATGTCAAGAAAGGCGCTCTTGTTCTTAGCGAGGTACGTTCTCTCTTAGTAGTGCTAATTAAGAATGCTGGTGAACTATAGTTTGCAGGCGCTGCTCAATCTCTTGGTGCTGGCTCCATCCTGATAAACCCTTGGAACATCATTGAATCTGCCAACGCAATTGCGGAAGCACTGAACATGCCAGAGGAGGAAAGGGAAGAACGCCATCGTCATAACTTCATGCACGTTACGACTCATAGTGCTCAGGTGTGGGCAGAAACGTTTACGAGGCAAGTTCTACTCTTTTCTTTTCTTTTTTTAAACTCACGCACCTATTCAACCAGTGAAATGAACGACTCTATTTTGGAGGCTGAGTTGCGTACTCTGCACATTCCTCCCCAACTGCCAACGGAAAAGGCCATCGCTAACTATTCAGCATCGAAGAATCGTCTCATGATTCTGGTAACGTAGTGCTATATTTCACCATCATAAACTGACGGCTGCCTGCGATCCAGGGATTCAACTCTACGTTAACTGCGCAAATTGAAGCTCCACGTGGAAGAGCCCCTGATCAAATTAGAGAGATGAAGATACGCCTGCATCCTAATCTCAAAGAGGTGTTCAACGTCTTATGCACTGATCCAAAGACCACTATAGTAATTCTGAGCGGAAGCGAGCGTGCCGTATTGGATGAGGTACTTCGCTGTTCTATTGGAGTATAGGATCACTCGCGATATTTTGCAGGCCTTTGGCGAGTTTGACATGTGGCTGGCAGCAGAGAATGGGATGTTTCTTCGCCACACACAAGGAGAGTGGATGACAACCATGCCTGAGCATCTCAACATGGATTGGGTTGAAAGCGTGCAGGTTTGCTTCGAGAAAAGAAAACTAGCAGCTTAAAAGCTTCTTCTTTTCCGTGTTGCAGCTAGTGTTTGAATATTTTTGCGAAAGAACACCACGCTCGTTTGTAGAGACGCGTGAGACATCATTGGTGTGGAACTATAAGTACGCAGGTACAGTGTTTTCAAGCATTCTCAATCTCGATTGGTAGCCTCACAAAAAACTTTTTCTCTTTCTTCTCTTCTTTTCCTTTCCAGATGTGGAGTTTGGCAGAGTACAGGCCAGAGACATGCTTCAGCACTTGTGGACAGGACCAATCTCCAACGCAGCCGTAGACGTTGTTCAAGGTGGAAAGTCAGTGGAAGTCCGTCCTGTTGGCGTTTCGAAGGTCCTTGTAGCTTTTCTTTGTTGTTTTTTTTATTTCCTCGCAAACATCGAGCTGACAAAGCTCTCTGTGTGTTCCATAGGGGTCCGCGATCGATCGCATCCTCGGTGAGATCGTCCACAGCAAGCACATGCTTTCGCCAATCGACCATGTCATGTGCATCGGACACTTTTTAAGCAAAGTAAGCTCTTCGTTTCTTCAAGCTCGAGAAAAATAGTTCCTTGTTGGAATGCACAGGACGAAGACATCTACACCTTTTTCGAGCCAGAGCTCCCGTTCCTGGATGCGGCAATCTTCAGCGGCAAGCTTCAGGACAAGCGAGTGAGCAAATCCTCGAGCAAGCACGGCAGCTCACGCCATGCCAAGTCCCACCCGGCCACCATGTCGCCGGACAGGAAGAGGAGTGAGGAGGAGCAGCTGATCGAGGAGGCCGGGAGATGGGAGGGGTCGTCGGTGCTGGATCTCAAGGGCGAGAACTACTTCTCCTGCGCGGTGGGGGCGTCCAAGCGCTCGCTCGCTCGCTACTGCCTCAACTCCTCGGACGAAGTGGTCACCTTTCTCAGCTCGCTCGCCGCCGCCACCGAGACGTTCCCCAAGAAGGAATCGTTCAAGAAGAGCGGCTGGCACAGCCCAACGCCACGGTCACCCAGGGTGGTCACTGTGAGTAACTAAGAACACACCTTGGTATATTCAATTATTGTATAAATCTCTTGGTTCTACCTTCGAGGATACCACGATTTGATCAAGCGCTACTACTGACCTTGGAGCGTGATGAGAGTCGAGCTCTGGAATCCACCCATTGGAACGCCACTTCGCTGTTTCTATGCCATAGAAGGAAGATGATGATCGCTAGCACCATTGTCAGCAAGAATAGGAAGAATGTCCTCGCCTCGAATCCACAGATGTCTAGCTCTTGAGGTACTTCTTCTTCTTCTTCGCCTGGTAGCATTGCATCCTCCATAGCCGGAGCAAGAACACGGCCACCACAATGCACAGGTGGAGTCCGCGGGCTTTCGACACGTCGAAGGATCTAAACCCTAGTTTTTAAATCGCCGGATATTCGTTGGGTGGGAACAATTTGAAACTTAGGGCTCTTGGCTTTAAACTTTAGGGCTCTTTGTCATGGCGGACAGCGCCATCGCTAGGGATGTCAATTGTCTGCTCGATCCCAGCGTGTCCGTTCGCAAGGCAGCGCTCTTGCGCCTGGAGCACGGAGTCCGGGCGCGAGGCGAGGAGGAAATTCAGGAGCTAGGTAGTGATGCCGTCATCAAGGCTATCTTGCGGAGGTTTGCTGATCCATCGGAGAAATGCCGCTGTCTAGCTGTGTCGATCCTTCTCAGGTAAGCACTTTAGCAACGCTAGCAGTATCGACTGTTCGTTTTCTTTCTTTTCAGCCTTCTCGAAATTATTCCAGGATGTGTGGTGAGTTTGCTGCCTTACATTCTTCCGGTCGTGTCGGAGCGCTTGCCATTGAGATCTCTTCCCGACGAAGTAGAGTTTGGAACGAAGGTAGGCCAAGGTACCATTGAGAAACAAACTTCGAAAGGTAAAAGAGAGAACGTCTTTCTCAATTAGAAAACTTGGGTGATATTCTTTGGTTGTGACTTCTAGGATGGACAAGAAGAAGCTTTACTAGAGCCATCAGAGGAAGTCCGGCTTCTCCTCGTTCGGCTCTTAACCTCCTTACTCAACCATGCTCCTCGACTCATCCATCCCTTCGCGTCCGAGGTTGCGTCTATCATCATGGTCACCGCAACTGATTCATACCCGGAAGTTCTCATGGTACAAGCACACGCTCTTTCTTTATTTCTTGCTAACATGCCTTTGGCAGGAAACCATGACTTTGCTAGAACGTTTCACAGATACCATGGATCAAAAGATCAAGCCAATTGCCAAGCAGCTGGTGTCCGTGATCTTACGCTTGCTTGTACACAATCGCTACAAAGTGCGTGTCGCTGCGCTCCGCGCTGTTCACCGGTAACCAACAATTTGCAACTGATTTCAATGCACCTTACATATACTTGATGTAGGCTTGTTCTTTGCGGTGCTCACGAGAGCATTTACGACCTCACGGCTTACCAAGATCCCAATCTGGTTCCAATAAAAGCATTCTATCATCCCTATACGAAGGCAAGCTGACACCATATTCAAGCTAACGGGGTGTAAGTATTGTTTTGTTCCATAGACACAATATCTAGCGTTACTGGCAACGGATAAATCGGTAGCTGTCCGGAAAGAACTTCTTTGGGTTATTGCGAGCTGGTTGATGAAACTTGACGAAAGAAAGCAGCACGAGGTCCGTCTTGTACCGTAAGAGTCTTATATTCACGACAACATTCTTTCATCCTGAACGTATTCTTCTTTGAACAGGTACGTCATTAGTGGCTTCAATGACTCAGACAAGGAGGTTCAAGCACTCGCTTTTCAACTAATGGAAGAAATTGGTCGACAGTAAGTAAGACCCCGGATTTATTCTGTTTCTCGGAGTGACAGGTAATTATGCGTTTCAGGTACGAGAGTGAAAACGAGAATGAGGTCAGGGACATGAAGCAGTACTTTCAAGAATCCACTGAAAACATTTTGATTGGAAGCGAAGCTTTGCCGCCTGTTTTCAAGCGTAAGTCGTGTTCTTCAGTATTGCTCTTTAGAGTTACCATGTATTTTCTTCAGACCGTCCTTGTTTGGGAGCCAGGATACTTGTGAGAAACTGTTTTAGCGTTCTTCTCTATGCAATAGATGCTGATCTCCACGCCTGGACCAGTGGAACGAAAGAACTATCATCGAGGTTCCTGTACACTGTACTGATTTTTGTCGAAGAAAACGCCACTATGCATCTTGAACCACTCTGCAATCTTTTCATTAAGGCTTGTGGTGACTTGGTGGTGCAAAAGGCGGTATGTCATCGTGAGTTAAATTGTTTCATTTACTTCCATTTCTGTTCCACTATTTCAGATCTTGGAGTGCGCAAAAGTGGTTGGATTCTTTGTTGATCCATCCGCTTATCTGCCTATTATACTGCCACATCTAAGTGGTGAGCTTTCTGGACAGTCAACAATACAGAACGCAGGGCGGACGCTAAAGATTTTATCTAGTTTTCTGGCCGGGACCCCATCTTCTCTCCTTGCCAAGCACCCTCCTGACATCTGTTCGTCATTGACAGAGCAAGATCTTCTCACAAGCATCGACAGGTAAGCATTTTGTTTTCTGCCATGGAACTGAGCTGATGTCTAGTGACGTGAATTCGGGGATCGTTCTGTCATGCAAAGCTATGGTGGCTGCCTCTTGTGAAGATGAATTAGCCTTGCTGTGGATAATTCTACATGCAATTTCGGCTGCCGAATTCAGTAGAAAGCCTTCTGAAATGGTGACTGAAAGTGGCTATTCCCTCAACTTTTCGAGTAACCGGTGGTTTTCACAGGCGGAATCCGTTCTCAGGGATCTAGCAAGAGCAAGCAGACGTGAATCCTCGGATAAACTACTGGCGGATCATGCGGATTCTATTCTAAGCATGTTACCAGACCCAGAGTTCTGGATCATGCGTTCCCTCCAACCATTTATCTTTCGCAGGTTGCTGATAGCCGGGGCAGCGTGCGGGAATGAAATCTTGAACGGGTGAGCTTGCTGAAAGAACTTCGTTTGCCTCTCTCTCTCTCTTTTCATTCACTCTTTCTCTCTTCTCTTCAGGTTGTTACTTCCAATTCTATCGGGTGGAACGGGCTGCATAGCTGAAAGCGTTCGTGAGACGTAAGCAAAGGAGTGTCCGTCTAGTAGTTCTCACAAACCTCTTTCGCAGGATACTATCAACTTTGGGACATTTGGAACACGACATCAATCTGAAGCTACTGGTAGACGCAAAGACCAAGCTTTCACAAACCGAAGTAATGGTCTAAACTTCTTTAACAATATTTTATGTAACACAAATTTCTTTCCAGGACTTATGAGTTAAATAACGAACTCTTGGGAGCGTCCAGTTCGTGTAGAAGATACTCTTGGCAACGATCAAATGGAATGTTCCAAAGGATGCATTGGCAGGAATGTCCAGTGAAATTCTCATTTAGCTAGTTTTCTTCCTTTAACTAGTAAATGTGAAAAGGAGATTAGCTTAATGGCTGGATGGTGTTTGGAATTGTGATTAACGGTTGTGTGTTTGTGGGAATCAACTATAGTATATTATGCAATTTAGAACTTTTATTTCTATTTCTCTTGAGATATTTGATTGTCTAAAACAGGAAAGGGAGTGATTATCAAAGATTTATACCATTTTAAAAATTACTCAATTTAAAACAGGAAAAGGAGGTGATCATCAAAGATTTACACCATCTTAAAACTTACCCAATCTGAGACTTATTACAACTGGTTTGTGTCTTGTTTGGGAGTGTTAAAAAACTCAAAGCTTACTTGAAATAATTGTATCTCTTTTACCCATGCTGTGGTAAGAAAGTAAAGTTTGATTATTTCAACAATCATCATGTCAGCCAATCTCGTTAGAAGTGTTATGGTGGCAAACATCACAAGTTCAGATATGGTGGCACCATGAGGCCCAAAAAGGATTGCAATGTCAACATGGAATGCCCCAAAAAGAAAACCAAGAAGCAGTAGCAGCAAAGGCCAAGCAAGCTTGGTGGTGGTGAGAAAGGCATAGTGTTGGTGAGTCAAAGCCCTAAAAGTGACCAGTTGTTTCCAGTACAGTGAGCTCCAGAGCTTGATGGAGTCTCTCATGGAAGATATGAAAGATGGGCATGTGTCGAAGCACACATGTGGCATAGGTGGGGAGGAAGTACACATGGATTTCAATGAGGAGGATGAGTATTTCAAGGAATTTGTCAAAGATTTTAAGGTTGATGAGGGGGATGATAGTGATCTCTTGTTGAGTCTCTATGGAGTGGAAGAAAGCAACGATCCACAACAGGCCTAGAATCTTGTACCTGACCTGGACAGTTTCACCATGGTGCTAGAGGAGCAAATTGAACTAGCTTTGCTTTGGAATTGGAAGAGGAAATCAAACAAGAAACAGATGCAATGAGGGAGCAAGCTATGCTGGTTTGGAGGGATGAGGTGAGGAAAATCAAGTGTAAATAGAGATGTTGATTTTCACCTGGAAGTTTTTGTCTACTAAAAATATGCACATGATTTAATCTAAAAGGCTTCTTAAGTATAATTGATTGAAAAATATTCTAATACTACTTTTAAGGAAATTACCTAAGAGAAAATATATATATATTTTAAGTAAAGAAAGATCTATAGGTTGGTTATGTTTTTCATCTCCACTTTATTTTGTAAATTCAAAAAAATTGGGAATGAAGGGAGATAATTTTTTCAAAGTGCATATCTTATAGTATGAAATTATAAAAGAAAATTGCCATCTTCCTTGGATATCAAGGCTAGCTCTGAACATGCTAAACTCCATGAGATGCTGCAAGCTAGATTACATTTCGCTCAATTAGTTCACGTGTTTCTATCAATCTCATCCAGCATAGTCAGTGTGTTGTGCTGCAAGTCTTCATCACTCAGAACAACATGGGCAAAGTCATTGAGCTTACATTGAATCTCTTCAAAGTGAGAGTTTGTTCCTGTAGGAGATTAAATGTGAAGTTAATCCTTATGTATGTTGAGTGGCATTAGTAATAGCATTGCTTACCTTTGATTTGAAGCCCTCGCCAGCTTCTCCTGGACAAAGTTGGCCACCTCTATGCTCGTCCTCTTGCCAGACGAGACCATACAAGTGCACGAATTGCACGAGGAGGGACAAGTACCAGATGCTGGCTGGGAACGATGAGATCGTCAAGGATGAGCGATTGACCCACAAGAAGATCCATGCAAAGGTGGCGGAGAGGAGATTTCTAGAACTTTTTCAATGCTGGCAAGGTGGCAAGATCTAGAGTGGTCCAAAGCTGCAAGCATAAAGTATTAATCTTCGAAGTGTATAATTGCAGCAAAATTGTGAGTAATCTGGAAGAGAAAAAAATAGTAAAGGAGGTAAAAGCATTAAATATGGAAAAACCTCTTCATTTTTATGCTGCTCCAATGAGAAGCATATCTTCCATCTTATCCCTCATGGGCACCTCATCCTCATGAAATCCTCATCCCCTCATTGGAGAAATAATTGTCATCCTCCACATATTGATTCTTCATTGCTGTGCTATGGATTCATGGCCACCTTGAGCTTCTTGAGGTGCTAACTCTTCTCGGGACAATAGCCATAGCTCGCTCCCATAGCATAAATGCAAATTTTCTTAAAGATTGCAAAAGCTTCATGATGAAACACAACAAGCAGAAAAAGCAAGTAACAAAAACCATACAAAAACTCACAAAAGAGATAAACTAAAAACTTTTTGTGCAATAAGTAAAACCTTACTTATTGCAGTAAGGTAATTCTATTGTCGAACATGAAGGCAAATCAAAGAGTACGTGTTCTTGTTCATGCAAATAGAGTGAGTTCCAAACTTGAAAGAAAAGAGACTTATGAAATAGTCAAGATGCAAATTTTGAGAGTTTGGTTGTATATCAAATGAAAGCATGGAGTTTTATTGCTGTTTTTACCAAATCTTTCAATAGCTTTCAGAACTTTGTTACCAAGACACAACACAAGTATTGGTACTACTACAATTTGAGCAGCTCATAACACTGACAATTCACAATCCGAGCTTTTCAATGCATTGATCCCTGCATTAGATTGAGAAGATATAGATATAGATGAATCTTGGTCGTTTATTGTATGTGTCATGGATTTGGTTATCAAATTAAAAGCATCTTCTATATTTTCACTGGATATTCTAAAAATGCAATACAGAAATGCACAGGTGGAATATTTACCCTGATGCCAGTATCACTTTTAATTGAATAAGTATGATGATATTATAGGATATTCCTTTCTATTTAAATTTAACTTAATTAAAATAAAATATTTCTAGTTATACTTTATATTTATTAAAGTATATATGTCTTTATTAGGAAATTATTATTAAAAATAAATAAATCTATTAAATAATATTTTACATATTCTTGCAAGCATTTCTAACATAGTATATTTATATAGTTTAAAAGAATAATTGTATCTTTGAATTTATGATTTTATTTAACTATGATTTTTTGGTTTGTTATTCATTTGTAAAAGTGGTGATTCTAGCAAGGTTTATTTTTGCATATCTAGCCCACAATCATATAACAAACCCACTCATATGGTTTTTTAGATTTTGTATAGTTTTCTATGTGTTAGAGTGTTTTCTTTATATAATGTGTGGAGATATATATGGCTTTTTTTACTCTAGCACCAATAAATTCTTTCATATAATATTTTACATAATTTTTTATAGCTCAGATAGAATATATTTTTCCATAACTTTAAATAAGTAGTAAAATGAATATAGAAATACATGTTTCAATAATGTGCTACACATTGCATGCAGCAACTTTTGGTTTTATTAATAGTAATGTTATTTATATTTATTAATATAATTGATCAAATGGAAGTTTATAATTATATAAACATATTTATAATTTATAAACACAAAATTAATTAGATGGTAGAATAAACTAGAATATACTAGGAAGTGTTTAGGAAAGTTTATAAATTATAAATACAAGATTAATCTAAATGAATAACAGCCGTTAAATGGTAGAATATCCTAAAATATTCAAACATATTCTAAATATATCCACTTTACAGGTTTGCTTAAGCAACCCAAAAATATAGAATCACTAGTTTAGTGCTATGTAGAAGCTTTAGAAGCTGCACTACTTTCTAGTATATAGCTCTTATCACGGTGCCTTTCCTTGGTTGTGTCTCTTATTGTGCATATCATGGCTCATGCTCATGAGTCTCTATGCTTCACAGTCATAGTGATGGTGCTACCTCATTGTGATAGCACTTCACACAGAGGGACTTTTAGTGACTATGAGTCCCTTAAACTACCCAACTAAGCTTCAGAACAGGCTCAAGTGTTTGATTCTCTTTGAGATTATAGGATGTAGTGAGTTCTAAGGCTCTTCTTTGTAAGCATTTTATTTTTGATTCAGTGGCCTTTCTTGCAGATCATATCCACTGCCTCCAACTCTATCAATCTTAAGGTAAGGAGTTCATCACAACCAACTCGAGCTTAAGGTACTGCTTTGCTTACTTGTTATAGTATCATTAGTACTACCATGAAATAATATAACATCCTAGTGAGAATAGGTTGTATCTTATACTTCATTCGGGCAAAACACCACCTCCTCACCGTGATCTAGCTAAGGATTGCAGTTTCAAATCAAAGCAGCCTTTTGTGTGATGGAAGACAAAGTGTAAAACTTACCAAAGAAAAGATCAATTCTCAGAAGTTAACTAGGAAATTCTTTTCATCTGTTAAAGCAAAGTTTAGGTCATTATGTATATAGGTCATGGCAAGGAAGCGAGAAAGGAGCGAGTGTCCTCCACACCCAGGTTTCATAAAGAATCTTTGCTTCCAGTGTGGCCAGCCAAAACCTGAGAGTGATGGTGGCGATGGCGAAGGTGATGCTACGCAGGGCTTGCTCTACCACAAGGACTTTGCGGAATTCCAGATCTCTCAGGGCAGTTTCGAGAGGCTCCGGGAAGAACAAGCCCAGAGGGCGCTGGAGCATCGCAAGCTCATGCTGGTGCTCGACTTAGATCACACGCTCGTGAACTCGGCCAGCTTTGACGAAGTTTGCGCCGAGGAGAAGCCCTTCCTGGAGAGCATGTACGCGAGAGATCCACCCAAAGGGCGATCGAAGCTCCTCCACAAGCTCGACGATTTGCAGCTATGGACGAAGATCCGGCCGTTTGCGCTGGAGTTCCTGGCCCAAGCGAGCAAGCTCTTCGATCTCTACGTCTACACCATGGGAACGAGGATCTATGCCGAGGCAATGCTCAAGCTCTTGGATCCCACTGGAGTGCTTTTCAAGGGGCTGGTCTCCAGGAATGACAACGATCTCACGGATCATCGCGACAGGAAAGACTTGGACACTGTTCTTGGGCAGGAATCGAGCGTCTTGATCGTGGATGATTTGCCGGAAGCCTGGCCCGAGGAGCAGCACAAGAACTTGATCCAGATCGATCGCTACCACTTCTTCTCGTCGAGCTGCAAGAGCTTTGGCTTTGACGAGAGCTCCAGCCTGGCGAGGAGAGGGATTGACGAGAGCCACAGCGGCGGGAGCCTGGCGAGCCTCTTGCAAGGGCTCGAGACGATCCACCGCGATTTCTTCCAGTATGGCGAGTTTTCCTTCCTGGAAGACGTGCGAGACACCGTGAGCGAGCTGCGCAGCCATATCCTCGAGGGCTGCAAGCTCGCGTTTAGCAGCGTGGTGCCCATCGATTGCGAGGATTCGCTGTGGATCTTGTGCGAGGGTCTGGGCGCCGAGTGTGTGCTCGAAATTGACGATTCCGTGACACACGTTGTGGCAATGGATCCGGAGAGCGCTAGGGCGCGTTGGGCAGTGGAAAATGGGAAGCATCTTGTCAATCCCTCCTGGATGCGAGCAGCGGCTTTTAGATTGGGCAGGCCCAGAGAGTCCGAGTTCCAAGTGCGCAAACTAGATCTCGAAAAACCCTAAAACCAGAGTGAAGAGCCCTAATGAGGATGGGATTCGAACCTCTGACATTACCGCGGATCGTAGCCGTTGAATTTGAATTTCGCGGACGGCTGTGGATCGAGATGTGGAAGGGGAGGAAATTAGGGTTTCAAGATGAATAGGCTAGCGGAGTACCAGGCGGAGCTCCACCACAAGACGCAAGGAATCATCCACGCCAAGGCCAAGGCCGCGGAGGATCTGCGATGGGTCAAGGAAAATGTGGAGAAGATGGAGGGAACTCTCTCGGCGTTTCACGGTGCGCGGCGCGAGGTAAATATCTCTCTTCTTGGAAAAGAAGAACAAACACTCTCACAGGTATCTTTGGAGAGGAAGCGGCAACTGAGGGACGATCTAGCAGCAATTGAGAAACGGTAGAGTAAGATTTCCAAGTTTTTTTCTCGCTCCAGGCCATGGTTTTTCTGATTTGTGAAGTTTGTGTAGCATGTAGCATGGCAGAGAGGGCGTTGGAAGTGGAAGCGCGACTCAAGGAAGCGGCCGCCACCGTGGTTGGCCTCAAGGACAAAGTTTGCTGCCTCGAGAAGGACTACAAGGCCGCAAAGTCGCAAGCCGGATCCAAGAGTAACTCGCCGCCACCCTCGACCAGCACCACCACAAACGTCGTCGACAACCACGACATCATCAAGGAGCGACTGGAAGTCGCCGAGGCACAGCTCGCGCACGACTCGGACCTCGTCTCCAAGCTCTACCACCGCGTCTGCGTCCTCAACTCCAGCTTAGTGGAGGCCAAGAACAAAGGTGTCCAGCAGCAGCAGGGATCATCCGCCCGAGCCATCACCGCCACCTCTCCAAGGCGGCTCTACGTGAAGCTCCACCGCCATCCAAAGGCCGGCTCTTCCTGCGATGGCAGCGCCAAGACGAGCCCCCGAGATGGCGATCCGAAAGATGGTGACAATGTCGCGAGTACCTCGGCCGGGAGCAGTGCCGTGACAAGCCCACGCAGCGATCAGCTCGCAAACGCCTCGGCGGAGCTGCCGCGGCCGCTAAACGACCATGAGGTGGACTGGATCCTCCACGTTTGCGGGAAGAACTTCGAGGACGTCGGGATCAAGCTCTCGGACGCCAACGAGAAGCTTATCTCGCAGCTGCGAGACCGGGTGAGAGTTCTCACGGACGAGGCCAAGAAGGACAGGACTCCGAGCCCCGGGAGGAGGAGTCCGGAGGGAACCACGACTCCGCCCCGGTCTGGAGTTATGTCTCCCGCGGCGGCAGTGTCGCCATTCCAGCCTTCTCCAGGAGTGATCAACATTGGAGAAGCTCCCTCGGTCACCGTCCAGAAGATGGAGGACTCGCTAACGCAGGTCCAAAATCGGTGCAAGGCTTTGGCCGCAGGTATGGTGTGGAATCATCCATCGCTCATCTCTCTCGAGCTTTGCAAGGTTTGTGCCTCGATCTTTGTTCTTGCAGAGATTGATTACATGGAGAAGAAGAAGGCCGCGGCTGTAGATGCGATCAAGACTCTAGACGCTGCCATCTCTGAGAAGCTTCCCCTTCTCAAATCCGCAACTCTGGATGCGAAGGTACTTCAGAGAGCTCGCTCGTTTGAGATGACTTTTTTTCTTCCAGAGACTGAGAAGATGTCTCAAGCGTTCCGAGGAGGAAGAAGAGCCCATCAAGGAGACGAGGCTTGCCAACCTGATCAAGTTGTTCAAGAAGCCCGATAAGAACATTGAAAAGTACTTGATCAACAGGAGAGGAAACAAGTTTGATGTGTAAGCAACGCTATGAAATGAAAAATCTTTACAAATCTTACATTTGTTTTCTCTTTTGTGCTTGTTCTCTAGAACCGTTTCGTCATCCATATCTATGTTTTCCGGTCGGAATGATTGCTCTCCTTTGTTCCAAGGATTAATCCCGGGTAGACTACTCCGAGCAGCAGCAGCCTTGGCAGCACGAATCACTTCACTCTCGCGTTGGACTCTTGGCGGCATAGTCTCCGTCCACCTTCTTCGCGCTGCCGCAATTCATCCACCATCTTGCGCTAGCCTGATTCCTCCTCTGCCTCCGCAGCGATCTGGCCTGGTCGTACGCCGCCCGGGCCTCCGTCAGCCGCACGAATTCCACGCCGCCATCTCTGGGCCTTGTCGGAATGGCACTTCTTTCGATAAGCTCGTCGCCTTTTCGGTCATTGACTTTTCATTGACTTTCAAAGAACCAAACCAGGAAAAAAAAAGGAAGAACAATCGATCTCTAGTAGAAGCGGTGCTACCTTCCCAAGAGAGACATCATCCTCTCCATTCCATTGATCCCAACGTTGGAGGCGAGTATCTCTTCCACACGAGCCAGTCCCGACGAGTAAGTCGTACCACCTGCTGCTCGAAATCTCAAAAGCTTGTCAACTTGAGGTTCGGACATGGTCACTCGCTCCAGAGCGATGACCCCGCTTGTGTCGAAAAGAACCACCGACATCACGTCCTGGAGGGCGGCTGCTCGACTTGTCCACCACAAAGATTACATGGCTGGCCACGTCACGTGAATGGTTGCAGGCAAAGTGGTGTCCATAGTCAGTCACGTAGCCCGTTCCAGCGTTGCGGACGTGCTTTGGGACCGGAGGATGCCACAATTTTTCGGTGCAGTATGACATTCCGGCTTGGAGACCTGTACCACCTGCAGAAGCTCAAGTCTCGCTTAGAACAAGTTCACGAAACAATCGACTGAAAGTTACCTGCATTGTGTTCTGTCGCCTGGCAGTAGTGGCCGCAGAGTGCAAACTGGTTCTGGTCATCCTGAGAGCAAGGGTCTTTGAACTTCATCTTCTTCCAGTACGCTGCATGCGTGAGCTCGTCCTTCGGAGTGCTCCAGTCTGGACAATACTTCTGAGTTGCGTGACGAGCTCCTTTGGAGAACTTCGCTTTGCCGCAAACACCGTCACGCTGCTGCTCCTCGCACACGGCCAAGTGAATGTGTCCACGACCTCGAGCCTTACAATGCATCATGCACATTTCAGCTGCCCCGGTGTCTCCCCACTCGTACTTCCTGCCCCCGACTTCAACTTCTTCGCTCTCGGGTACAAAAGTTCGCTGCGTCATGTTGTCGTGAACGGTGTCGTGAAGTCCTGGATGACCAATAGGCAGGTGACAGAAGTAGCCGCATCCTTCACATGTCGACACACAAAAGTGAACGGCTTCCTGGTTGATACTGTGCGAATGCTGGCCTTCATGCGGCACTGGAAAGCAGCAGTTCTCCAGCACTCCATTTTGCTCTGACACATGATCATACTTGAACGTCGAACGCTTGCCCAGGTAAGTCCGAGTCTCTTTAACACTTGAGTGAGAACTTCGCAATTTCCCTTGCACCCACACTTGCTCGGACGCTGGTGTTCATTCCCGCAGGGTTTCTCCGAATGGAAGTGGCCCTCTTCAGCACACTTCCTGTTGCACCCCTTCATAATACACTGGCTGACGCACATCTTCTCGTGGCAAGCGTGAGTAGTTCCACAGGATAGACGCAGGTGTTGATGCAAGTGCGAAGCGAGCACTGCTACTTGCACATATGCTGCTTTGAGTTACACCTGTGCTCACCCTGGTGTGCCGCTTTCAGTGAGCAACTCTGGTTGCAGTTGGACGACTTATCCTTGAATTGACAACGCTCTCTACAAGTGTGTCCCTTCACCTGGCAGTCATGTAAACCTTCGTGACCGGCTTTATCAGAACAGACCTCCACAGTCGAATCCCCCTCCTTGCAAAAGGAGCGCTGTTCCTTGCAGCGATGGTTTCCTTTGCAGCTGTGAACTCTTGGATGTGCCTTCTCCAGTATGCAGCACTGTTCGCACTTGCAGCTACACAGAGCCATCCGGTCTTTTGCTTCTGCAACTGCAGCGGTGGTCTCAAGGAGTAGATTCTGGACACCACCATCGGAAGAGAAGCCTTCAGTGTTGACTTTAATCCAATCAAGCAGTCGGGCCTTGCGCCTTTCTGCTAAGGCTCCCAGGAACACCTCCAGCATCCAGTGCCATTCTTCATCGCTATGGGCCTTCTCTCCGCGAGGCACTACATTCTCAAACTCCGATACCAGCTCCTTTAAAAACCTCGTGACCAGCAAGCCGAAGACTTCTCGAAACCAAAGGCCCGTCGTCAATCTGATTTTCCGAATCAAAGTCCACCAGCTCTGTCTTGTCGTCCATCCCAAAGCTATGGCCGTCTTCAAATGCTTCCTGAGCATGCTGACCCTGAAACCGATCCTTTTCGTGTCAATAGAAGACCAGTCCTTCGAACAAATCTGAGATATCAACAGCGTGAAGTCCCCTAAGAAGCTCTTCCCGCTCTGGTGCACTGCTGCAAGCCGTTCGATGGTGGTGGCAATCTGCGATATACTTTCGTGGACCTCCTTCCGGTTGAAAGGTGGCATCGCCGTAATCTCTATGCGGCCCCCGTACATTCTGGTGAGGAAATTGTCCTTGGACTTGTTGCATACGTAGAGGACCTTCGAATAAAACTCTTCGCAAAGGCCATCAACGTCAGCAGCATCACATCTTTGATAGCCATGCTCTGAAGAGTCTTTCACAAGGCTCACACCATTCTGGAATCGTTCAAACACTGCTTCAGTATCCTTGTTAAAATGAGAGTCCTGCAAACAGGACAAACTCAATGATGAGTAACCAATCGAGAAAATACTAGAGCTTTCCACAAACCTTTTTGTTGAACAAAGTTACCGTTAGCTTGAATATGGTGTAAGCTTGCCTTCGTATAGGGATGATAGAATGCTTTTATTGGAACCAGAATGGGATCTTGGTAAGCTGTGAACACCACGCCTACATCAAGTGTAAGTAAGGTGCATTGAAATCAGTTGCAAATTGTTTGTCACCGGCGAACAGCGCGGAGCACAGCAACACGCACTAATTGGCTTGATCTTTTGATCCATGGTATCTGTGAAACGTTCTAGCAAAGTCATGGTTTCCTGCCAAAGGCATGTTAGCAAGAAATAGAGAAAGAGCGTGTGCTTGTACCATGAGAACTTCCGGGTATGAATCAGTTGCCGTGACCATGATGATAGACGCAACCTCGGACGCGAAGGGATGCATTAGTTAGTCGAGGAGCATGGTTGAGTAAGGAGAACGAGAGGCAAACGACGAGAAGCCGGAATTCCTCTGATGTAGTAAAGCTTCTTCTTGTCGATCCTTGAAGTCACAACTAAAGAATATCACCCGAGTTTTCTAATCGAGATCGACGTTCTCTCTGTTACCTTTCGAAGTTTGTTTCTCAACAGTACCTTGCTCTACCTTCGTTCCAAACTCTACTACATTGGGAAGAGATCTTAAGAATGTAAGGCAGCAAACTCATCATACATCCTGGAATAGTTTCGAGAAGGCTGAAAAGAAAGAAAACAAACAGTCAAGCTCATCGATACTGCTAGCGCTGCTAAAATGCTTACCTGAGAAGGATCAACACAGCTAGACGGCGGCATTTCTCCAATGGATCAGTAACAGAGCCTTGATGACGGCATCACTACCTAGCTCCTGAATTTCCTCCTCACCTCGCGCCCAGACTCCCTGCTCCAGGCGCAAGAGCGCCGCTTTGCGAAGGGACACGCTGGGATAAATTGACATCTCTAGCGATGGCGCTGTCCTCCGCCATGGCCAAGAGCCCTAAGCTTCAAATTCTTCCCGCCCAACGAATATCCGGCGATCGCGCCGTGCTCTTGCTCCGGCGATGGAAGCTTCTTCCTTTTCTTGCCGACAATGCTGCTTGCGATTCATCTTCCTTCTATGGCATAGAAAAACAGCGAAGTAGCGTTCCATTCCGGCTCTCATCACGCTCCGACAGTAGTGGCGCTTGATCAAATCGTGGTATCCTCGAAGGTAGAACCAAGAGATTTATACAATATACCAAGATGTGTTCTTAGTTACTCACAGTGACCACTCTGGGTGACCGTGACGTTGGCCGTTCTTCTTGAACTATTCCTTCTTGGGGAACGTCTCAGTGATGGCGGTGAGGTGGCTGCGATCAAGCTGAGATACGTAACCATTTCGCCCCAGGAGCTGACGCAGGAGTGAGCGAGCGAGCGCTTGGATGGGCATGAGAAGTAGCTCTCCGACTTGAGATCCAGCATCAACGACCCCTCCCATCTCCCGGCCTCCTCGATCAGCTGCTCCTCCTCACTCCTCTTCATGTCCGGCAACATGGACTTGGCATGGCACGAGCTGCCGTGCTTGCTCAAGGATTCTTGAAATGCGGTAATTTTAGAAGTTCGAGTTTCGAGATTTAGTTTGTGCACTTGGAACTCAGACTCGTACCTTGGCCTACCTTCGTTCCAAATTGTAAAATGATTCTTCTCATATCGTTGAATGGTTTGCCTGTTTCTTGTCAGGTTTGCATTTTCTTCCCCCAATGTTTCCATCTCCATAGAAATGTAGAGTTTAGCAAGTTTTGCAACTCTGTATTTAAGCAGCCTTTTAGATTGGAATGACATTTTTGCTAATGAAGATTTTGTGCACCCCCATGATTTGAGGTGAAATACAGGTTGTCTCTATCTACATTTGATCTTCCTCACCTCATCCCTCCAAACTAGCATCGCTTGCTCCCTCACTGCTGCAGTTTTTTGCTCTATTTCCTCCTCCAATTCCAAAGCAAAATCACATTCTTCTTCATCCACTAGTTCAATTTGCTCCTCCAGCTCCATGGCCAAATTGTCCAGGTTGGGTATAGGATCCTGGGCATGTTGTGGATCACCGCTTTCTTCCACTCCATGGAAACCCAACAAGAGATCACTATGATCCCCCTCATCAAC